ATAAAATAGACTATCATAGGCTAATTCGGGAGCTCAAACTTAAATCCATGTAAGCACATGATAAGAAATGAAAGAATATATAAACATTCAAATTCATGACCTCTAAATGAAACCTAATGCATCGAAAATACTGTTAGCTCCAGCAGTGGGAGGAAATCGTAAGTATTTTCAAAATTTCTGAAATTCACGTTTTTCCATCTCTATTTCCATAATCAAATTAAATTGACAAATAGAGCATAATTTTGGCTTCATTTTGTAAAATGCTACTTCTTGGAACACAGTTCTAAAATAAATTATTGTAAAATATATACATCAGGGTAACTGAATAAAGTAAATAATACTTGAATTATATGTGTAAGTTGAAAGAGATGAAAAAGATCTTCAGAAAATGTCTTTAGTTTTAGTAGAGTAATTGACAACAGAGGAATAATTTTAATACATATACCTTCTATTTAATCAAAGGCCAAACAGTAGAGATCACAGATGAATAATCAGGTTGAGTTTGTAATGCATTTTTCAGTCATATGTTTGCTAGATTTTGTTTTAATGGGGAAAAGAGTTTAATGATTGCTTTTCTACACTAACTACAAATTTAAAGCAGAAATATGGTAGTCCTTTAGTACCACCAACTTTATGCCCCATGAAACAAAGGAACTTTGAGGGAAGGTTTTCTGCAACTTCTCTAAACACTGCTTTTAAAGACTCATTAAGTAGTTTTCTAGGTTAAGAAAATGAAATACTCATTACTGGTAGGTGAAGCACCTCAGGAGCTAATTCAAATACTACTGTTCCTTTCTTGAGACTTGCCCCGTCAAATCCCATCACTATGTACCAAGTATATATACATATACTTGGACTGATTTACATATAAAGGACTGATTTACACAACGTAATTTATTTTTCTGTTTAAGAATTAACTTGAGTTATTGTGAATGATTATTTAATAGACTAGTTTTAGAATAGGTAATTAGTGAACATAATATTCTTTCCACTGTTATACATAATATTCATTCCCTGCATGTCTTACTTGTCCAAATAGGTTCCTTTCAAAGT